TTTTACTCTGAAACATGTTATAAACTATTACTGCTTGATACATTGTCTTGAATTCAGTATACATTATGCTATTCATACTCCGATACATTGATTATACTGTTATACTATGTTCATATAATTTCTTTTAGCTTTGATTATAGTATCAATCTAATGCTTAAACTGTTTTAAAATGTTACTGTATTATGACAGAGAGAGCACCACATTCTGCAAATGGTCTGTAATAAATTCTTATGATGTATCTCTTTAAGCATTTCTTTTCCTGTTACTTGAAATCTTTTTGCTAATTCCCAAAGGGGGAGAAGTAACTGGAAAAGCAGTTTTTGGTTGTGCATCATAAAAAAAGGGGGAGATTGTTGATAGGGGGAACTATGTGAAAGCTAAACCCATATGTGTTTTTGATTATGACAACAGCAGAAATGTTTTTAATAGTTTCTTGCACACATTTAGCAAAGCTGATGATTATATATTTGATTGTGCTTGAACTATTTGTTATGCATATTCATTGTGGTTATACACGAGTTTATATATGTGGTATGCATATTCATTATTTAGAATGTTAAAACTCTATGCATATTGCATATCTGTATGAATTAATCGATTATAGAGTTTATGTAATCTGTTAGATTCATCAGATATCAATATTTGCTTAACAGTGGCAAAACTGCAAGTTTTAACCGTTAACCGATTACATTATATGTATATTCAATTAAAACTTGTGTCTTTCCCTTTACTTGTTTACTGAGTGCATTGATGAGTTTTGGATTGAAAAAGTTTTCAAATTTGCTTAAGTGTTTTACTTAACCGATTATACTCTTTTCTTAATCGATTAAAATGCGCATTGATTGAAAACTTATTTTCTTAATAAGTCTGAACTACCTTAACGATCATATTTTTAAATGTTTTGACTTACATTAATTACTTAATCGATTACATGCAATGTTTAATCTGTTAAATGTTTTAAATGTAATTTTGTTACAACAATGTTAATTGCTTAACCAATTACATTAATAATGTAATCGATTAAATTGCGTCAGTGATGATAAATCTATAAATAGACGTAATGATTTCTGTTTTCAACAACTTAATTGAATCATAACTTTCATATCTAATATAGTTTGTTGAGATTTATTAGAGGAGCATCAGGAATTCTCCAAGAATCAAGAATTCATATGTTTGGACATTATTCATCAAGATTCTTTGAAGAATTGAAAGAGTTACCAAAGACTGATCAATGTGCACTGATAGGTGTACTACTGGAAGATCAGATCACTTTGCAATCTTGTGAGATTGTGGTTTCCCTGTTGGTGCTGGCCAAGAAGAGAACTTTGAAGTTCTAGTTACTTTGAGTGTGGTATCTCAAAGGGGTTGCAAAAAGAGGATTGTTCTTTTTGTGTTTTTACTATAGTAGGTTTGGAGTTAGAGAGGAGGATACATATAGAGGGTGTCTCTGTATTGCTTGTTGTAAAACTCGATCTATATAATGAATTTACTTCCAATCTCAAATTGATTGAAAGGAGACTGGATGTAGGCATTGAGGCCGAACCAGTATAAACTGTGGTGTTGTTTTCTCTATCCTTATGTCTTTCATTTCATTACATTCTTTATTTGCTTGCATTCCAATCAAAGATAAAAGATTTTGGGAAGGTTTCTAAAAGAACAATTTTTATTAATTAAAATCAATTCACCCCCTCTTGATTGTGAAACTAGGCCTATCTTTTTCTACAAAGCCCTTTAAGAATTTGAGGAACATAATCACCACCACGATAAAATGTACAGTAGGAAGAAGATTGCAAGAACAATTAATCTCACAAAAACATGAATGTTAGGCATGTCAATGCAAACCGACCCGTCCTGTTTTGTTTGGAACCCATAAGACATGTAGATTAATTTCTCTAACCTATCATACACAACATTTGGCCCACTAGTTGATCTTTATTTCTTGAAATAATTTTAGACACCTTATTTTTCTTTAATTGAATTAGTACAAATAATAATTTTTATAAATCCAATTCTTAAAATAAATAATATTCATAATTTTATAATTTCTATTTTTTTTCAAGTATAAGCATGTCGAAAAATTCATAGCATATGTATATAATTAAAATAACAAGAAAACCAAATCTTAAGTAACTAAAGTTGTTGAATAAAGCGAAGAACTAATGAAAGAACCTCCCAAAAACAAACTTAATTAGTGGCAAATTGAGACAATACTCATATAATGGACACATCATAAGCAATGGACAAAATTTAAGGCAAATCTACACAACGTGGCCATGCATAATATCTTACCACATTTGTCATTGGTCGCACAAGTTACAAGTTATGTGGGGTCAGTCAGAATCCCACATTTTTTCTTGTAGGCCAACTCATATGGCCACCTTACATTGTCATCCCTAACAAAGGTAAATGAAAAAAATTGATCTAATTTTTACCAAAGATTCTTCATTTGAGTAAAATACATAGATATACTAAGATGACCATGACAAAGAAAATATATTTCTTCTTAAATATATGAGATGCGAAATACGTATCCATGATATTATGTTTTGCACAAAACATTCCAAATTTTAGTAGTAGTGTCCATGCAACAAACACTTTGAGCAATTGTTACATCAATAAAACAAACCAACCATAACATGATAATGAAGTTATAACAATCCCGATGTCCAAATAGGGTGGAGCCACATAGTGGGTGAAGAAGAGTACCATTAATGAATTGAAACTTGTTCCTTGAGTGTAGAATAATAGAATTGTCCTGAGGCCAAGAATAATAATTGAATTTGTTTTGGTATCGGGTTCGAGGATTAACCTTCCTAACTTTGCTATAATGTTGAGTCTTGATCTCCCAATTATTTTAGTCTGTCTCGAAGTCGATTGGTATGTTCTGAGTGGACCTGCAAAAAATACTTCGACGCTCAAGTCAGATGAGTGTTTCAAACGGTTATGCTTAAATCGGATTATTAGTCAAAAACATAAACATTACCTTGGCAATGCACCTATATTTATATTTCTCACAACGACAACTAAATCAAATATGTTAATTGTCCATTAATAGCTGCCATTATTTCTCTTTATTTTCCATTAATGACTGTTACCTTTAATTACCTCAGCAACTGTCTTTACCAATCGGTTTACTACGGCTGCTCCTTAGCCTACTCGGTTTATTAACCGAGCATCCCGACATACAATACAAAATCCATCAATTTTAATCAGAACAAGAGAAATTCCAATGCACCGCTACTAATGAAATAGGGATAAGAAGAATCAAGAAATGCATTAGGAAGAAGAGTGATTCTCCTTGCACCTCACCTATTTCGTCCTGCACCTCCAATTTTTATTTAATTTCTATATTTGCACTGCCGCACTTCCAACGCTGGCTGCCGCACTTCTAACATCGGTTGGATGTCACCGCATTTCGAGTTGCGGTTCACCCAAACTTTGTACGAAAGTGATTGGCATACACCGAATTATGTCAAAGCCTTACCTCAAACAATCCAGTGTGACACTTCCTTGGCAAGTACGAAAATAATCTTGACAACAATTCTTGTTGCCTCCATCTTGTGAATATCTTTCGGCCATATATACAACGCTTAGTTCTCAACTTTCAGCACTATGCCCATCTACAATATTCTTTAGACTTAAAAAAATTTTCGTAATACAAAGACAATATGTCTCCCATACTTTTACTCCCAATAAATCTCTTCAAAAAATTAAGCTTCTTCCCAAAGAGATAGAGGCCAAGAAGAAAACTGTTGTATTCAGTGTTTGTCTAAGATTGATCGTCCAACAATCTAGGGAGAAGATACTTCCCTCTCATCTTATCTTTCTCAACACTTTTAGAAGATGGTTCAAAATTTGAGAACCCTCTTATACATGTCTCTTCATCGCGTGAAGCAACGTAAAGTTCCACTCTAGTTTCTGAACATTCATTCTAAAAAAATAATCGCAATTCGAAACGCGGTGACATTCAACCGACGTTAGAAGTGCGACCGCTGGTGTTGGAATTGTGACGGGTCAAAAATGGAAATTAAATAAAAATTGGAAGTATAGAAAAAAAAGAAGGTGTAGAGAAAAACATTCTAAGAAGAATCGTGATGAATAAAATATGATGAAAACGCAAAAAGAATAAAAATCACAATGGATTAAACTATAAAAACTAATGTTACCATGTAAAAACTTTACAAAATTGAAAGAAGAAATTTTGTAATAGAGAAAACATTTTTTTATATTTCTTACACCGAATATCCTTTACATTGTTATACAGATGACAGTTAAACTTTTACAGATGACGGTTAAACTTACCGTCTATTACAATATACAAATTTTTAACTAATAACAAAAAAATTGTAGTAAACTAACTAGTTAAAAAATACATTTGTTAACAATAATTATGTCTTCCGTGCGTATGTCTCGTAAACATGTTCTCATAATTTTTTTATCAATATTTTTCAGATAAGTTTCTATATTTAGAGATAGAAAAGTAAATCCTAATATATTCTGGAAAACAAAATTGTTGCGATAAATAAAGATCAAGAGAGAATTTCGATAGTTAGAAATAAAAAGAATAGTGATACTTTCACGGCACATTTTAATACTATATCAGTATTTATGATTATTATTATTAATTTTAAAATAATTTTAATCAATCACGTAATAATACGTAAATAATATTAAAATATTATTAAAAAAAAATATTATTACAGCATCGTTATAAAAAAAAGTTACATTTTGATAGTCTTACCTTACATAATGGACCCTTGAACATGAAAAAATTCTATTAGTAAAGAGAGAGCAAATTGTCCAAACAAAAACAAAAAAATATCTGATTAACTCAAAAGTTCGTAATACTCTTATCCTTATGCATGTAGATGACAGCTTGAATGAAGAAATCGTACACCTGATTCAAAATTGAGAGCACGTTTTTAAATTTTCAAACTGCGCCAAAAAAATAAAATTGCCGCGCAAGAAGCCGGGGTGGCTAGTTAAAAATCCAAAACCTGAACGCTCTCTCTCAAACGCGTGGAACAAAAAATGGAGAAGGGGTTAATCTCCGTAGACCGTTGGGCAAAAGGAAGCGAAGCTTACTTTCTCACCCACCTCCACTCCGACCACATCCACGGCCTCACCTCCACGTGGTCCCACGGACCCCTCTTCTGCTCCTCCGTCACCGCCAAACTCCTCCCCTTCAAGCTCCCCCGACTTCAATCTCTCCCTCCTCCACATCCTCCACACCGGCGCCTCCCTCACTCTCACCCTCTCATCCACCGTCATCCACGTCACCGTCATAGACGCCTGTCACTGCCCCGGTCGGTAACCCTATCACTCCTACTCTTCACTCTTCACGCACTTTTCATTTCTCTTTTTCACTCATTTCGTATTCTTCCCACCAACAGGTTCTATCATGCTCCTATTCCGCGGCGACTTCGGCTGCTTCCTCCATACCGGCGACTTCAGGTGGGAAGCCACGTGCCAGAGAGCAACCAACGCCCGTCACATGCTTGACCACGCTCTCCAGAACCTTCCTGTCGTTGACATCGTTTACCTCGACAACACCTACTCCAGTCCTATCTATGATTTTCCGCCTCGCCATGTAGCAGCTCAGAAGGTCAATCAAATTGTCTAGTCTCTTCTTCTTATGGATTATTGTTGTTATTATCTTTTGCTTGATTTGATTGGTGTCTGATTTCAGGTTATAGATATCATTTCTTCGCATCCCGATCATGAAGTCATTATCGGGATTAACACTTTAGGGAAGGAAGATCTGCTGATTGAAATTTCGCGTGCGCTTCAAATCAAGGCATCTTCCCGATCGTTCTCTTAAAATAAAATTGAAGCCAGTGTGCTTGGAGTCTTTCTTGTCTCTACAATGTACAGTGCTTGAGTTGAAAATATTATTTTGAAGTTGTTTGATTTAATCCTAAAAAAAATCTTGATGTGGTTATATTTGCAACTGTCTACTGGTTTTTGAAACCTTGGATGCTAACTTAGGCAAAAGTACTGTACTCCACTTGGTGTTCCCGTTTTTTATGGGGACTGTTTGATTTTATACCTTAATGGACACAGCTATGATTGTCTTGTTAGAATTGAAGCTTATGTTCATACCATGTTTGTTTTAATTGTCGTGTTTTGTCCACGTTACCATGTTTTGTTGGAGTTAGCATTCCGAACGATGGTTTGGTTTTTCACCGAGGTTTTTTGTTTTTCAATTGAAGATTTGGGTATGGCCAGAGCGGTTGCGGACTATGCATCTTCTTGGTTACCCTGATATTTTTACAACGAACACGTCTCTTACTAGAGTTAGAGCTGTTCCTCAACATAATTTAAGCATTCGAACTTTAGAGGCATTTAATACAATGCACCCAACTATAGGAATCTTGCCATCGGGTCTTCCATGGATAAAGAAATCACTTCAAAAGAACGAGTTTCTTTCTGGTTCCTTTTTGACATCATCTCGTTGTACGAGAGGCAAATGGAGTGCAAATAGTGAGGTAGAGATTGGTGACCAAATTGGAAACATAGGATCGCCAGACAAAATTCACGAGTACATGTACACAGTTCCCTACTGTGATCACTCCAACTATGAGGAGATTGAAGAGTTTATAAAGCTTGTTCAACCAACCAGACTCAAGGGCATTGTGGCTTACTCGTCATGCTGTATTGAACCCATGTACTATTTTGGTCGACTTTGTTGTGTCGACCAACAGACACAACAGTTGTATGAGGAAAAGAAAAGGGAAGAACGTTGTAAAAGAGAAAGAGAAGAAGCAGTCAGCTCCAAAGCTTCATATGCAGGTGATAATGTTCAGACAGATAGAGACAGAAGCAAGGCTTTGAAGGGTAGGTTTTCTGGTGTTCGTCTGAGCAGGTTTAGTAGATTAAGAAAAACTCACCGTGGTGCAAAACTTCGGGGAGATAACAGTTCTGATGAAGAATGATGCGTGCGACGATGTTATGCACTCCTTTTTCAGTCCATGGTGCAAGATAATCCTCATAACTCTTAATTCAGCTTTAGGATTTTTTTTTCCCAATATGTATATAATAGAAAGTTTAGATGATCATCAAATTGCTATTTGATATGGTTTTCTATTCCCCGTGTAACCAATTTGTCCATAACTGTGTTATTTTTAAAAGAATGTTTAATGACATTGCTTGAAAAGCTCAAGATGTGCCCACAGAAATCTCTAACTTGCAACCACTTTAGCCCACCTTCTCAATACTGTAAATATTTCATAAAAAACTGTCCTTTACATTTCTTAGTAATGTACTGTACATTTTTATGTTAATTTGTCCTCTTCAATTTCAATAATTATGCTTTATCAATAAAATTATAATGTCATTTTAGAAGTGATTTAATTGTTTAGCTTATACTTCTGTTGAGAATATACATGTTAGTTATTTTTTAAATTTCTAGTTAATTTGTAACGAAATTTTACAAAAATTAGCTTTGTATGCATTTTTTTTCTTTTGAATGTGCTTTTACACATTTTTCTTTTAATTTATTATGCGAATAAATATTTTTTACTCTTTTTGCTATTTGTAGATTATGGATTGTCTATTTTTTGCAATAATTATTTTAGAAGTCATGGATGGATGAAAGTTTTTGTGATGAGAATTTGTTTTAAATGAAATCTTTTTGACTATCTTAGCGAGTTAATCCTATTATGGAGTTAATCCTATTATGTAAGAAAGAAGGTTGGGTAAAGCCATGATTTTATAAATATAGATTTATTGGGATTTTTATGATATATGTAAAATTATTGAGCTTTGATTCAATATACGAAATCTCTTTTGGAGGTAGTTGTTTTAATGGGTTTAGACGAGAATGTATGATTGAATGAATTTGTTGCATGTGATTCTGTGTTCCAAATTAATTGATTTAATTATAAGTATTTTTGTTTTAAATATACTAACTTGGTTTGTTATGATATTGTGTTTAAGGGAATAAAGGATAATGAGGGTGAAGAACCTAATTGTGATCTAATCCTAGAATGGTGATGTAGAAAATTACTTTATATTGTTTATTTTGTATTGCATGCTCCTCTCTTTTTAAGTTTATATTTTGAGGAACTATGTATGGATATTTTGAAGAATATTGTAATGCATTATTTTTTAACTAATAGTTTTATCCTTAATACCCACTTATGATACTTCTTGAATTAGTAGATAATTTCTATTCATCTGGATTGTTACATATCTTCGTGTTATATGTTTTATAATCACTTTTTGTTAACTTTTTTGGATAAATATATTTTATTTGTAATTTGAAATTAAATAGTGCAGTTTTTAGTTTTAAATAGATATTGGTATATTATAAAAATGACTTCATTATGTTTTTTTTAAATTTTACATTAACGTTAACTAAATATTATTTGAGACAAAATGTAAATTATAATGAAACAAAAATATTTAATATATTCAGAATTAATTTTGAATGATATTTAAATAATTGTAAACAAATATGTGAGAATTAATTTATTACAATTATTCATGTCTATTTATGTATCATAATCACATTTATATTGAAAATTTTATAGAAAATATAGTTAAATATGTTTTTAGTTATAAAATTTTGATGGAAAATTAAAATGTTTTTATTTTAAATTTTAATTTTCAAACTTAAAAAATAAATCAATAAAGTATTTTTAATATAATGATATTAATTTTTTATTTGTTAAATGATGTTTTAAGATGAAATGGTATAAATACTAAGTGTGATCTTAAAATATATTTGTCATGTTAATAACATTTGGTGTATTTAAGTTAAAATAAAAATTTAAGGAAAAAATATGTATGAAAGTTTCAAAACCAACGTCGTTCAATTTAGTTTGAGGTGGCTAACAGTGTGCCACGTTTCTATTCTTCCTGTTAGAAACATGGAAGATCCTGCTGACATAGGAATCTCTTTGATCCTGAACCTCTACAACGTGATGGAGCCATGGTGACGATCTTAGTGTTATTCCTTATCGTTGCAATCAGGGAGTGACTGTGATTTACATTCAACCTGCTGAGTTTTTGCTTCAATCCAATTTGAATATTAATCCTTTCGTCTTCTTCTTTCTTGTTGTTCCCAACATTACATAAACCTTCTTCATCCATTATTTGTCAAGATTTAAGATTCCATTCTCAATAATAATTTGAATAAGCTTTGAAGTTTCCTTCGTTTTATTAGTAATTAGAAAGTAGTGTTCATCCACATGAACTTTTTTGTGCGCAGATATTCAAATCATAATTGGAAAATAAAAATACTTTTGCAGTTGCTATATGTTGTAATAATGTTAAATTATTACAAAGAGACGTTGCCTAATGGTAGCATGCCAACGTTCAAAATTTTTCAACGTGAGGCTTTGTAAAGTTTGAGGAAAGGTGGAGAAGTTTTCCTCTCCAAATAAAGAAAAAGAAATAGGAAGATGAGGTTGGGTACTTAAGTAATTTTTCGTATACTTTACCTACAAAGAGAAAAACACAACCAGATATTTTCTCGTTTACCAATCTTAAATATTTTAAAATTGTGAGGGTGTAGGTAATTTTACATAATTACTTGAAGAAATAAATTTGGCTTTTCACCTAATGATATTACTCTAAATCTGGAAGTAGAGAATATGAAGTTATATATTTATATATGAACGACATGTTAATGATAGACACATGCAATCAAATAATATTTAAAAATTAAGGTTTCTAGGATCAAATTTTGAAATGAAAGATATGGATGAAGCCAATGTGATTTTAGGTATTAGAATCATAAGGAATGAAGATAGTATATTACTATCCCAAGAATAATATATTGAGAAACTTCTTAAGAAGTTTAGGTTTTATGACCTCAAACTAGTGAGTACCCCTTATGATGCTAATTCTAAATTAATAAAAAAAATAAATAATAAATAAAGGAGAATCTATATCTCAGCCTTAGTATGCCCAGATAATTGGGAGCTTATTGTACTTGATAAGTTTTTCTAGACTTGATATTGCTTATGCAGTAGGTAGATTGAGTAGGTACCTCAATGTCCAAATCAGGAACAATGGAATGCACTTGCTAGGCTTATGAGATAGTTAAGAGGTTCAATGGATTATGCCATTGAATACAGTGGAACTAGCTGTACTAAAAGGGTACAATGATGCTAACTGGATCTTTGATTCAGATGAGACAAAATCCACTAATAGTTCTGTATTCACACTTGGGGGTGGTGTGATTACATGGAGATTAGTCAGGCAAACAAATATTTCAAGATCAATAATGGAATCTGAGCTTGTTGCTCTTGAAATGACTGAAAATGAGGTTGAGTGGTTGAAAAACTTCTTAGCGAACATTCCACTAGGAATGAAACCAACCACATAGATATCAATACACTATGATTGCAAATCGACAATAAATATAGCTAAAAACAAGAATTACAATGGAAAAAATAGATATATACAATTGAGGCACAATTTGGTGAAGCAACTGCTAAATTGATTATGTGAAGTCAAAATGGAATCTAGCAGATCCTCTGACAAAACCCTCGGAAGACAAATGATATTAGAAAAATCGAGGGGAATAAGACTTAAGCCACTTGCAAACAAATAAATGATGGTAATTCAACCTTTGTGATTGGAGATCCCATGAATAAGGTTCACATGGGTAAAAACAAGTCACTTGTTAGTTCTGATAGCACTAAATTGATTTTAATCAATTATGTATATTCTTGTGGTGTGTGTGAAAGTGATAAAGACTGCATTATTGAGAGGCTAAACTTTGTTATTAAAATTCTATGTGGTGAAAGAATTTTAGTTTAAACAAAGTTTTTAATGATTTTCATATCCCTTATGGGTGGTGTATGATTTGCGGCATACACTTGATGAAATCACCTATATGAGTGTCAAGTGAGACTGCTTGCATGAGATCTTGACATGATCTCTAGAGCACTCATGAATACCGGGCACATGCATGACCTAGTAAGCGCAACACAACGATAACAACAAAGATTGTGAGAGTGTATTGTGATTGATAAACCTCTAACACACGTCAAGTGTCTTTGGTTCATATAGCTTGCTATACCAACTACACTGTGTGTTAAGTTTCTAAATCTAAGACTGGTTCATATAACTTGCTATACCAACTCTGATGCATTACATTCTATGAGACCCAGAATAAAAGTTTCTTATCTTTCTTTTAGTATTTGAACTATTTGAGTCAAAGACCTTTTATTTCAACTTTCTTTTGCAATAAGTGGGGGATTGTTGTAATAATGTTAGATTATTGCAAAANTGATTTTAATCAATTATGTATATTCTTGTGGTGTGTGTGAAAGTGATAAAGACTGCATTATTGAGAGGCTAAACTTTGTTATTAAAATTCTATGTGGTGAAAGAATTTTAGTTTAAACAAAGTTTTTAATGATTTTCATATCCCTTATGGGTGGTGTATGATTTGCGGCATACACTTGATGAAATCACCTATATGAGTGTCAAGTGAGACTGCTTGCATGAGATCTTGACATGATCTCTAGAGCACTCATGAATACCGGGCACATGCATGACCTAGTAAGCGCAACACAACGATAACAACAAAGATTGTGAGAGTGTATTGTGATTGATAAACCTCTAACACACGTCAAGTGTCTTTGGTTCATATAGCTTGCTATACCAACTACACTGTGTGTTAAGTTTCTAAATCTAAGACTGGTTCATATAACTTGCTATACCAACTCTGATGCATTACATTCTATGAGACCCAGAATAAAAGTTTCTTATCTTTCTTTTAGTATTTGAACTATTTGAGTCAAAGACCTTTTATTTCAACTTTCTTTTGCAATAAGTGGGGGATTGTTGTAATAATGTTAGATTATTGCAAAAAGACGTTGCCCAACAGTAGCATGCCAACGTTCAAAATTTTTCAACGTGAATTAATTTTGCAACGTTAAAATTATTGATTGGTTTAAATTTCTTTTATTTATTT